GTGGTGATAGGTGTGATTCTTGTTCAGTGGTTTGGAAAAACCTGAGCTCAATTTTAGCATGTCTTCTTTTGAGCAGGTTGCAATAAGTCGTCCTAAAATGCTCAGCTCTCAGAAACAGACTATAAGTCACATTTTTAGCCATCTGAAATTTTCTTATGTTAGCCTGATATCTTACAGTTTTCCTGCAAACTAAAGTCACCACAAAACGAAAATTTCAGACTAGGAAAATATTCTACTTTACTAGTTTTGATGTACAAACATAAATGTTGTTCATACCTTTATCCTAGGTGATTACACTAAGCACCAGGCTTTAGGTTTTGGGCAAGAGGGCACCTGTACCTGCACCCACAAGTGCTTTCCAGGGGCTGAAGCAGGGAAACTTCATGGCTGCCCTCACCCCTTTTTTCATGCTGTGCCAGGCTCGGTGCACCTGCAGGACACTGGTGTCTGGATGGCAAAATGCTCCTGGGGGTACATATGACTTAAGAAAACTGCCGTGAGGATGGAGGAAACAGGCCAGAAGAGCTCTCTGTGTCACAGCTGTCATTTCCTTCTCCCATCTTTCCCCTCTGCTAAAAGGTTCAGGGTAAATTTGCTCTCTCTCCCCCTCTCATGCAAGACAGGGATGTACCAAAAATTTGAAGCAAGAGGCAGAGAGTGGAAGGAATGAAAATTCTTAAATGTTCCAGTAGTAATAATTGGTCTAAAAATAGACACTTTCTACTTGATGGGAGGAAAGAGGAGAATGAGGCCAGTGTTTCTCCTAGGGTTTATTTATTAAATTCATGTCCCATCAGCATCTGGGATAATACGGCCACACAAACCCTCCTTTAAACCAGATAGTCCTGTTACTGAGACCTCCCCAGTGAAAGGGATTAAGACCCGTGCAGCTGAACTCCCACTGGCTGTGGCTTTGCCTCTCCCCCTTGTGCTGGTCCACACTTGCACCCAGTCTAGATGTCACTGCAATGCATCCATGGATGGGCTGACACAGGGTTGTCATGGACCTCATGGATGGGGTTTGTGATAGGAAAATGACATCCTCCTCTACAGGGACATATCTAAGAGCTACATAAACTCCAGTGCTCCCTTCTCAGACTTCCTGCATCCTGTTTCTATGACACACAGGCAAAATCCCAAATGGTTGTTGTTTTAGATATAACAAGAATAGTCGAGGGCAGCTACCTGTTCATCAAATGGAAGCTCTATAATGAATAAATAATAAACCTAAAAAGGATTAAATAGTATAAATCATATATCTATAGATAGTCTGCAGGTGACAGGCAGCTGGACCAGTGTGTGAGGAATCTGATTTAAGCAGAATGGTATTTTTAGCTCCTATTCCAGAATTCAGCTCCTTATCCCACTAAAATATTTAAATATTTAGCTGCTCACTAGAAACTCTTAACTTGTTTCTTCACAGAGAAAATATTTGAATGACATAATTGTTAAAAGGTGGTATTATGCTAAGTCATTCTGTGCTTATCATCCCAAAGTCATCGATATTTCAGCGCATACACATCTCCTCTACCACAGTTTGCATGATAATAGCATTTATTGTATATACTTTTAACTATAACTATTTTGAAAGCTTTGGATAGGAATACAAAGCAAGAACATATGTGTTACCAGAGCACAATACTGAAAGAGAACCACAGAAATCTGTCTAAGAGCTTTTTCAATTGAAGTGTGACTAGATATCTGTTTGTTCCATTCATTTTCTCTTCAGTGACATAGAGTTAGCTTGTGGCATTTCTCACCTTTATCTTTGTCGAATTTTTGACAATTTCAGACTTTGTTTCCTTAGTTTAAGTTTCTTTAATAATGTAATGTGCTCACAGCTATTTTGGATCCTTTTATTTGGAGGTATCCCAGAACTGTATCGCCAGTCTCTCTTTTTATTTACCTGTGAAGCAAAATTTTCCTTTCCATTCCTCCAGAAGTCATAAAATGGTTGTGGATTAAACAAAAATGAATGTTTAGTTTATATGACAGGTCTTTCTGATATACTGAAAGCTATCTCTCACAGACATCCTTTCTGGGCTGGCTTTGCTTTACATCATCTCATGGCATACTGGATGGCAACAACAAACACCCATCTGTTCACATGTTCTTAGGACGGGTGCCCAGAGAAAGGAAATCCCCATAGATAAGTGACCGCATCAAATCAGAGAGCAGCCAGCATGGAAAATAACCCTAGATCTGTTTTATCTTTGTTGGAAACAAAGTCAGCCTAGGACGGATGCCAGTAGCCCACATCTATGAGCAAATGAGATACAACATTGCATGTGAAAGGGCTCCCCTGTCCAACACAAATGCTCTTTTCTCATTTCATTCCGTTATTTTTCCCCTTGTGCCCTGGCAAAAAGCTATTCAAACATGCCCACTTTAGGGATGGGTTTAAGCATAAGAGAGGCCAAGTTTCCCACTGACTGTTCTTACAAGAAGATGAATCAAGGACTCCATGATATCTTAGGAGGATGCCCTCAGCTTTTCACAAATCACCCATTAGACCTTTCTGCCTATAATTCACCACTGTTTGATTTTTGCTTTTGGGAACATAAAACAGAAAAGCATATAGTTCTTCTGCTGGCAAGAAGAAAGCACCTAAATATTTACATATCTTTATTGAAACTTCAGGGATTTAACCCCAAAAATACATGTTTGGCATGCAGCTTTTCATTACCTTATCCAGCACCAGGGGAAAGAATGGCAGAACATACCACTGTCCAGGTATATTTGGAGCAAGCAGCTGCCCAACAATGGTAAAGAAGTTTCCCAGAATCTGGTGGGAGTTGTTCCTACTCCAAGTGCAGATACATCAGGTCAAAAGAGGTGATTCTTCCCCTCTACTTGCTCTTGTGAGACACCACCTGGAATACTGTGTGCAGTTCTGGGGTCCTCAACATAGTAAGAAGGACATGGAACTGTGGGAGCAAGTCCAGAGGAGGCCACAAAGTTGATTAGAGGACTGGAGCACCTCCTCTAAGAGGACAGGCTGAGGAAGTTGGGGCTATTCAGCCTGGAGAAGACTGTGTGGACACCTCACAGCAACTTTTCAATATCTGAAGAGGTCTACAAGAGGGAGTTTGTCAGGAACTGCAATGATAGGACAAGGGGTAACGGGTTCAAATTGAAGGAGGGAAAGTCTAGTTTGGACGTGAGAAAAAAGTCTTTTACTCTAAGGGCGATGAGACATCGGAACAGGTTGCCCAGGGAAGTGGTGGCTGCCCCGACCCTGGTGGTGTTCAAGACCAGGCTGGATGAGGCCTTGTGCAACCTGATCTAGTAAGGAGGTGTCCCTGCCCATGGCAGGGAGGGTTGAGACTAGATGATCTCTAAGGTCCATTCCAACCCTTAAATTCTATGATTCTATGATCATCATGATGCTGTAGTAGGCCCTGTGCACCTCTAACACCAGGGCTCCTTTTGAACTCCCTTTATGCATAAGTTCGGTAATGAGATTGTTATAGTTCCTAGAAAATTAATCTATACTTGATTAATTCTCTCATGACTGCTTGAGGCATTAGCTGCTTCAGTGCCTCTCTCCTGTGTCACACACATTGTCATTTTGGCTACCCACAGAGGAGTCTTACCAGCTCTGTGATGTTTTCCTTCTCACTTCTCAAATGAATGAAGACAGTTCCCAAATCCTCTCTTTATTTTCCTTCTTATGTAATATTTCTTTGCATCAGAACAGCCTGCCCTCAGTAAGGGGAGCAACTGCTTCTCTTACTTAGTTACATTTCTCACCTTTATCTTGCTTTTACTTACAGAGATAGGTGATATAATTTGTTAACTCTTAATGAACAATGGGCAGAAACAGTTTAGCTCAGCTCAATCAGATTCTCAATCTGCTCTGAACTCACCACACTGCACCAGAATGCTCAATGACAGAAAAAATGTACATAACAAAGTCCTTATGTAACTAAGTTTATAGGGGTTGGTGGTAGTGCAGGTGTTGCAGTGGTCAGGGAAGCACTTTCAGTATCCAAACCAACATATTTTTATAGCCATACACCAGTAAAGTTTATGCAACACTGAAAAAGATTATAGCTTACTATAACTGCAGTGTGTCTGCAAAATTAAAGGGATTTTTAAACTTCAAAGTCCTTTTGTACTGTGTTGCATAATTTCATTGGGGAGCAATAAATTGGGTTTCTTTTGGGAATCTTACCTGCCCAACACCATCTGAGTAAAGAAAGTTGCCAGTTTCCAAAAAAATAAACCAATAAATAAAAAGTCAGACATATGAGACAGAAAAAATAACCTCTTAATCAACAGTTTGGCCTATTGTGATGTGCAGTGTGTGCTAATAATAGTTTCTGGCATGGCTGTACTCTGGTTCCCTGTGCGTGCCAGAGCCTGACTGTGAGAGATATCTTTATTGCTACTGCTGTCCAGATCAAATCTACAAAAGGAGTGCCTAGTTCTTGCCAAAGATTTACTCACTGTACAAGTATCTTAAGACAGAAGAAACGCACTGAATTACAAGGGACTGGGAAAAAGAAATGCTCACCAAGTCAAAGGACTTGTACAGAATTCACTATGGGCAGATTTGGGGTTCTGCCTGCATTTTCATCCCTTTTGCACCCATAGCTCCCATTTCTTTCAGGAGATGAGGTGGTTTGCAGTGTTTTCTTTTTTTTTTTTTGTCTGAATGAATCCTTCCTGTAGCTTTACAGCACGTCAGTCAGACATGCCCAAATACATGCTCATGAGACCTGCCCATACAGCAGCAATTTCATTACCTAAAGATGTCAAGAAGCAAGACAAAATCATAAGCACACACCAGGTTGAATGTGGTTAACTAAATTGCTTTTAGTTTATTGATTTTACCCATATACATAGATGACTTTGAAAGCACCACGTGAAAGAGTCAGGACAAAGTATATGAAAATGGTACAGGAAAAGATTTCAATATGCAATGTGTCAAGTGTACCTACTGTGTTTCATACATACTTTACACTGAAAACAAAAAAAACCCACAGTTTCCAGGAGAAGTACCCATTTTATTTTGAATTGGCAATTTAGTTTATTAATATGTAAAAAAAATAAATCTACAATAGCAACAGTGCAAACACATCAGAACTTGCATGGCATATAGAACAAAAATGAAAAAAAATTATTATACAAAGGGCCCGACGTTTCCTGTGGTACTGGCTGTGATGTGTACAACAAACAACAGGGTGAGGAATAAACTGCAACTTAAACAGGAGGATGAGCTGCATATTACTGGCTCTGCCTTGTAAGGTCTCTCTATTTCAGGGGGTAAAGCTGTCATGCCTTGGATCTGCAATTAAAATAACAAAAAGTTATTAGTTTTGTCACATAAGATTAGAAATCTGTCTTTTGCTCTCTAACTGGCTGGCAGTTTGCATGAGAATCTATCAATCTATTAAGGATAAATCTGTTCTTGATTTTGATTAAGATGGCCATTTTAGTGCAGTACCACTAGTCAGGGAAGGGAAAAGAAGTAGTCATCATCTTATCTTTGAGTTACAGGTCATAAACTGAGACTGGGGAGATTCAGATTAGATATTAGGAAAATAGAATACATTGCCCAGGGAGGTGGTGAAGTCACCATTCCTGGAGGTGTTTAAAAGGCATCTGGATCCAGTGCCAGAAGATATAGTTTAGGGTTTAGGGGTTATAGCAGAGTGGCAGGTTAATGATTGGATTCGATGATCTTGGGTCTACTTCAACCTTGATGATTCTGTGATTCCCTAGTTATTTGAAATGGGAAACTATGACTAAAAGGAAGAACTGAGAAGTCCCAGTTCCAGTGAGCTCACTCTTTGTGTTCTTTAAGTCACAAATATTGTTCCTTCATCCTGTAAGATAAAGAGGAACAGCATTTTCCAGAAAGCATACTATTGCAAAAAAAAAAAAAAAAAAAAAAAAGAAAACAAGCAGCCTATCCCTTCCTGATAAAACTTCTGTGTGCTTTTCATCATCTTAACTTGTCACCTGACAAATAATCAGTCAAAGAGCAGCTACACAACTGCTACTGGCCAGCAGTTGCAAACGTCAAGAAGTTTAACCAAAACTGGAGTAGTAGCATGTACTCTCAATAACTGCTTTTCATAGGATGTCTGCAGTGGGACAAATATTTTAAAAAAAAAAAAAAACAAACCCAGAATCTCTTTGGTTACTTATAGGACACAGTATTTCTTTGACATCTCACGGGCAGAACAGCTGGATCAATATCAGAAAAACCCGAGAACACCACTGCAGGGAGGGCATTTTCTCCACCAGCTGAAAGGACTGTGTGACATCCTAGGAGGCAGCAATGGGCTGATTATGGGATGCTGCTACAAATTATTTCATTAATAGTATATTGTATCAGCTCTGCTATACTGGCCTGAAATCACAATAGGCGATCAGCCAATATGAGTCCATCTCCTCTTCTGGGCAGATCTCAAAAAAACAAAATACCCACAAAAAACCCACAAAAAAATCTAAAACCCCAAAATCGCAAAAAAGTACAAGTCTTGGAGTCTGTAAAGGAGTTCAAAGAGCACTACATATTTTTCAGCATCTCTTTCAGGGATGATACTGCATGTACTAGCAGTTCTTTATGAACAACATCAACACTAAAAGTGGCAACTTTTTCCATCATTTCTGGGAAAATACCAGTAAAAATTTAGAATAAATAATAACTTACTGGGGAATTAAGTTTTTCTTACATTTTTTTCATCAAGAGCATAAAGAAAGGAAAACTATGGAAGATAAAATCTTACAAAGGTGCACAAAGTAGACAGACAATCCAAATGTACTATAGACAACAAGACCAACAAAAAACCCAAGAGATATTAGAAGAGTACACATATCAATATAAGTTATCTAAATTTCTGAGTTAAGAAGTTACACTCTTGAAGTTTCCTTATGCAGTTAATAAGCTTCCCTCTAGAGGGTGAGATGAAACCTCATTTGGGGATTTTGAATCATCTGTCACAAGACCCTAACAAAAGTGCCTGACCATGGAGGCAGCAAAGGGAAAACAGCTTTCTGACTTCATCACCTAACCTGGACACATGTGGTTACACTCTGATCAGTCCCAGACTGAAAGAGTTCATTCTCCTGCTACTGATCCCAAGTGCTGACCAAAGCTCCAGCTTTTCCATTCTTTTTAAACGCTTCTAGAACTCAGGTGAAAGCATTGATAAAACATTCTCATCATTTGTTATTGTATGTAAATACAATATAGCCATGTAAACATTCTGAAGACATATAACTAGATACTTATTCATACACGACGAAACAGTAAACCACATTTGTTTCATGGTATTATTGCCTCCTTTCAACACACAGACTTACCGACCATTCTGCATTATCTGTTTTTGAACATCTCACGTTCACAGGTAGTTTAAGCACAAGTTTATTATAGGACAGACCCTCTGACCTGGACCATTTGAATTTGTTCATTGCATCCATAAAAGACAGGTTTTTATATTGCTTGGGACTCTTGATAATGAAAGGCCAAGTCCTAAAGAAAAATAAACAGATTTTTTTAAAAAATAGATAAACACCATCAAGTTGGAACTGATGAGGAAAAGCTTCTGGAATCTACTCAGAAAAATAAAAGTACTACTACGATGTATATTATGCCTATCTCACATTCTCAGCTAAGTTCTCTGCCACTGAAAGCTGATGCAGTTTCACTGATTTTAACAGACTTATGAAAGGCTGTCAGCAGTTTAGAACTTGCTGCCAGATGCTTTTAGAAATTAAGGACTTCAAGAATTATATTTCTGTTCTCTGATCTACAGACTGAATACACAATACAAAACAGATCTTCTGCTGAAAATTCTCAAAAATCAAACAAAACCAAAAGAAAGCCACACCCTCTAATAGGCTTGGCAGGCCAGAGTGCCAGAAAAATTTGCCATTAGAAAGCTGCTTCCAGATGATTCTGCCAGTCTCTGGTCATAACTCAGATAATAGGTGAAAACTGAGTCTAGCACAAGAGTTGTTCTGACATACATTGTTTGGCAACAGAGAATAACTGGCAGTGTGGACATTGCCTCTTGGCATGTCCCTATATGCTGGCTGCAAGGGGACTTTGGGCCAGACGAAGATGTGGAAAGGGAAGGAATGACATTTCTTGTCTTTCATTTAGTAAAGAAAACTAAAAAATAGTATAAAGGAAAATTTTTTTAAAAAAAGAAAGAAAGCTAAAGAAAACATTTTCCATTGTACCTGCTTTCTTATTATTTAACTACTGGGATGAATGGAAACAACATCGTGGACAGGCCAAGATTTTAAAAGTCCAATGCAGCTAGTGGGAGAACAAAAGTATGTAAAACTTTATCTAAGTAACCTAACTAATACTTTGGTTGGAGCATGAGTTATCTTTTGAAAGTACTTTAGACAGATCTGTCTTATCTTGCCATAGGCTGTCTCCTGTTTGCTTTAGGTAAATTGCCTATGCAGAGTTCTGCTCCACTCAGCATCTAGGAATAGAGGACATAATGTCAATCAAGGACCTATTTTACACTACTGTGGCCCAAACACTTTCATCTCAACTCCTCATGGTTTAAACCACTGTCTGTGTCACCAGACTGAGGAAAAATGTTTTAAAGCGAGCCACAGTGCCTTGATCTTGCTTCCAGTTTGCCTGCATGTGTAAGTCAAGAGAGACTTCAGTGGAGCCAGTGAAGCAATTCCAGTGTTAGACTGACACAAGAGAGATGCGTATCAGGTCACATATCCTTAGGCTGACAGAGCTTAATGAAACAAGAATGGTGGATTAGGTCATAAATACTAGAGGCATTAACAATCTCCTCTTCTAATTACTATTCCATTTGTGGCAGACAGTCTGCATACTTACTCTATTCAGAACATCTTTATTTCCCCAGGCCAAATGTGCATTTTTTTCCTTAAGTACAGTTATCATGAATGAACACTCAAGAGAGCATACATTTGTTAGAACATTTTCTTTCTAAGCTCAGAAAGACTCTTTCAGCTACGACTAATTTAGAAACTCTGTTCTCCCTGTATTAAAAGAGATTGTAAATGGAAATAGTGTGGAAAATTAAGTAGACATTGATTATACTGTGACTTTTTAAACTCTTCATTCTTGAATATAATTTTCAGAACTAAGATCAGTCAGCCTGTACATCAAATTATTTTGCAATAATAGTTTTACATGATGTCTTAAGAGAAACTGTATAAGGAAAGACAATTTTTAAAATGTGTGATGACTTATTAGTCTATCCATTTGTTTTTAAAATCTTACTATTAACTTAGTGCAGTGCAACTACAAATACAAACATAACCCCCCTTTCACCACTAATAGTGCATTCTACTTTTTATCGCTTGATTATTTTTCTGCAATTCATTTAGAAACTTTCCTCTTTGGACTGCTCTCATTGCTTACAATCACTTCCACTGCTGATCTGCTGTTGAGATGCTTTAATTTTTAGTACAATAAGGAACACTTAAAACCTGAAATATACTTTTTATTAATTTTATGTATTCAAACATATACTGGACTTCCTCCCACCTCCTAACAAGTCCAAGTCTCAGGAGACAGTGTCTTTTCACAGGATTGCAAGCCCCTGTAGCCAACAGTTGACCTAAAAAGCTCCTTTCTTTCTGTTGGCTAGATTCCTTCCAATGGTTTCATGTTTTTCTCTCTACTCACCTTGCATATCAACATCTGACTTGTAATTCTTCCAAAGCCTCTATTCTATCATAGGTCTCCATCATGGTCCTTGTCTACCATTTATCTTTTACTGTGAACAATTTAATATTATCTCAATCCCTCCCTTTCCTTTCTAACTTATGATGACTTCCCCTTTAGTGCATTTTTGTCAGCAGAATTGCTGACAACAAATCTGCCCAGGGTATTTCAATACCCATGCTCACAAACACCTTTTTTAAAATTATCGCTCTATATATGAAATGCTGATATGTTTTAATAAATTGATAGATTTAAAACATTGATACATAGGCTTTTTACAGATGGTTGTGGTGAAAAAAAACCCCAACCTGATATGACCAATACTATTTCTCTAAAAGAAGAAACTGTTTTTTTATCGAAGGGAAATACCCCAGGTGAAATAATTTGCCAGGAGAAATAAGCAGCAGTACTGCTGCTATTGACCAAAGAAAAGTGGCATGAGTGACCATGTTGCTCTACCAGAAAGAAAAAAGTGTAAAAAACTGATCCTATAATCCCACAGACAGAAACAGATGTGCTACACATATTCACAAATATCTTCCATACCTGACTGGTCTATAGATTTCCTTAACGCCAATGAACTGGAGCTGTTCCATTATATCTGGAATACTTGCACATCGGGTGAGGTTGATTCTTGGGTAATAGAGTAGATATGACAGACACATTTCATTCCTGGTGCTCAGACCACCCTGAAAACGAGATTTTTTTCTTTTAATAAAGATAGCATTGGAATCTCACAGATGAAATCACTGATTAGCATTTATATGTTAATGAAACTTGTACTGGGAGGCCCAATTCAACAAGTTTATCTTGAACACTAAGTTATCAAGTAGCAAGAAGTTATACATAATTAATTAAAAAATACATCACAAGCTCAAGAAATAGCTTCCAAGATCAAAGATGTCAGAAAGAACAACTATGAGTAAAATAAGACTCCTATGATGTTGAAGAGTACTATCTGAGAAGTTCAGGTTTATTTTCAATTGTCTCCAAGACAGCTGAAGATACCTGCCATGTTTCAGAAAAGGACTTCAAAGTGGAATAGATGTAGAAAAAAAAATCTGATAGGATAACTACTCTGTTTAATAAGAAATTATGTGAGCTTTGCCTAGTAAAATGGAGGCTGGGATGGAATATGTATCTATCTGGACTCTTCTTGTAAGTACATACGCAGACAATGAGTAAGAAAGAAAAGAATTATATATAAGTTAACAGATAATGTTGACTCAAGAAGAAATAAGCACTAACTATAAAATAACTAATTAGAGTAACTTTTTTTAGCTAGCAGAATAAACAGAGTTTTAAACATTCTTCCATTGAGAGCCATGGGACAAATAATTGATTTAAAATTCATCTTGGCAAATATGGACAAGATTGTGAGCCACACATTCCTAAATCCTGTGTGGGAACAGTTCCACAAATTTCACAGAACCACAGGAATAGGAATGGAGAAGACGAAACACATGAACCAAGGGTCAAGAGTTAATGTGATCACCACACATGACAAAAGGACAAAAACTCAAAAGCCTCCATTCTTGCTCTTTTCTTTATATATCTACTGCATGCAACTACATGCAAGCCGCGATTCAGGGGGAGGTACCCCCATGCTTTCTGGATGCCAGGAACAGTTAGTTCTTCCCTGCAGAACAGAAACCTCTCAAGTCTCACCTCCCAGAACTCTGCATCCTGCCCCTCCCAAGGAAGCAGGATCAGACCCTGGCAAAGGCAGCTATATCCCTCCCACAGGCATAGTGGGTCTGACAGCACTCTGTGTTTTCATAGCCTACTGGCACAGTCCAGCTCATGTCTCAACAACCAAATTCTCTTTGCCTGCAAACACAAGTGGCTGCAAAGCAATGACTGGTGTCTGATCCCTGTTAACCTATATGCCTGAGTCTGGGAGACCACACACATGTGCCAAACATGAGCTGGACACCCTCAATCCCAAAGGGGATGTTCAGCCTCTGGCCATGGCCCTGCCATGTCTGCTGCTGTGTGGACATACACCTGGGGCTGCAGCACAGATGATTCTCACGTCTCAGCTGCCAGGGTGCACAGGCAGGGCTGACCCTTCTGCATCATCCTGGGGGTGGCTGCTGTCCACTACGGTCCTAGCCAAGGAAAAGCCCACCACATGAGAAACGTAACACACTGAGACTCACTCTGCCATCTTCCTCCTCCCACCCTAAAGGACCTGGATTCTGTCTGGATTCTTATGTTAGGCACAAAACTAAGTCAAGTAACATCTTGGTCACAGACTAAGTCTATTCTGCCATGTCTGCAGTTAGAGGGCTAGAGGGCATGGTCATAAACAGAGAAAGGGGAGAGTCAGATTAGATGGTAGGAAAAAAATCTTTTCACTCTTAGAGTGGTCAGGCACTGGAATAGATTGCCCAGGGAAGTGGTGGAACCACCATCCCTGGAAGTGTTGAAGAGGTGTCTTGATCTGACACTGGAGGATATGGTTTAGGGGTTACAGCAAAGTGGCAGGCTAATGGTGGGACTTGATGATCTTAGGTCTCCTCCAACCTTGATGAAGCTGTGATTCTAAGTAAAATCAGTACATAAGAACTGGCAATTACAACTTCAGGGAAAATGCATAAGAAGTTCATAAAAATAATTCATTAGTATATGCAGAACTTGCATGTTAATACATGCTGTGAAGAAAGCACTCCTTATACTAGCAAAGCTTGATATTTAAAGATTTGTTATGAGCTGACCCGCTTATTTTTGTCAACTAGTCATATGAATTCCTTATGCAAGATATGCAACTATGTTCACAGTAGTTCGGATGACTTTAAAACCTAAGAATCTACAAAAGGAAAGACATAAAATACATAATTATGTGCACACAGGCATTAGCAAGTAAGTTCACACTTTTTAAATAGTGTCTTATGAAAAGGATTTTAGTCTCCAATATTATCTATGTACTTATTTTGATCCATCAAAATGTTTCTTACCCATGTCATGCGAATTCGGTCCACAGTACTGTAGTGACATTCTGTGATTAAATTATCCCCCTGAAACACAAAATTTAGGAAGTTCACAGTTCTGAAGTTTATTAACACCATCTTCAGGTAACCACAGATGACAGCAAACACTTAAGAAAGAAACATCAGAGCAGTGGATGTGACTTTTTGAATGAGTGAAGGATTAGGTAATTGCTGTATGCTAAGGCCTTGGCACTTAGCATTCATATTATCCAGATCCTCAGGGATCCCCATGGATTTAAACAGACTCTTATTAAGAGTGTCATCTGGGATTTTTTTTTAAATAGCAATGGAGGTGCCCAGTTATCGTTCAATTTTCTGGAAAACTATAGAGTAGACAATGTATACAAAGTATTCTTGCTCAAAACTCATCCAGTGCTACTTTCCCCAGGCCAATTTATCCTGCCAACTTCAATAGAAATATTTGGCAAATGAGGAAAAGCAGGTTTTCCACATCACAATAACAACTGTTTCTCTGCCAAGCCTGGGAGTAGAGGAGTGGCAGGCAAAGAGTTCACTGCATTGACAGATATGTATGGGAAAGGCTGAATATGTACCTTCTCAAGCACATACAATTAACTTTTTGGTGTCTTGACAAACTGATCTACACCTTGGTAATACCTTTACTCCTTATACCTAATCAAGTACAAAGCTCAAAATCACCATGATAATCAAGGGGAAATTAAAATATTCAAGAACACAGACTGACATAAAAAATCTGATATTTTGGAAAACTTCAGATCACAAGGATTCCAGATCTTTATTTTCTTTGGTTCATGTGGTTCACAATCCCATGCAGCACTCCAGACTGGGGACAGAGTGGCTGGAGTGCAGCTAGGCAGAAAGGGACCAGGGAGTTCGGATA